AAAATGTTCATCAGTTGATATTTAGTTTAAGTTAGTCATTTGATCATGTTTAATGATCAACCCGGGGGCTGTGACAGATTACGCAACATTACTTTTAAATTTATTTGTTATCGTAATACTTCATGTAATAATATTAGAAATATATCAAGTTTCAAACAAGTTGCCTGTAGAACCTCCAAAACTATATATATATGCGCTTAACTTTGACAGCAATATTGCATGATCAACAGTATCAAACGCCTTCTTGAGGTCTAAGAAAACGACGGCATTAACGTTGCCTCGGTCAATATTGTAAGACCAGTTATTAGTAGCCTCAAGAAGTGCGGTGACAGTGGAATGAAGAGTTCGAAACCCTAACTGGCAATTAGATAAGAGGTTATTATCCATAAGATAGGCATAAACTTGATCATAAATAATTCTCTCAAAAACGTTCGCCACCACTGGAATTATAGAAATTGGGCGATAGTTATTTAAATCCCTACGCTCTCCCTTTTTAAATACTTTTTAAATAATGGAATGACTTTTGAGCATTTCCATTCGTTGGGGAATGTACCAGAGTTATAGAACAGTTAAAAATTGCACAGATTGAATCGCCTATTATGTCGGAACAATCGCAAAGTAATCTGGCTGATATCTTATCTAAACCCGTGGCTTTAGATTTGCAAAGTTTAGACAAGAGGGTACCAACCACCGACGGACTAGTTGTATTTAGTCGAAAATTATCATTAGTTTGACTTGGCAAGTAATCAAGGTGTGTACCACCATTCCCAATATAGGAAATGTTCTGAGCAAGCTTAGAGCCTATGCTAGCAAAATGATCATTGAACACCTCGGATAACTCATTACGTTCACAGACTAAGGAACCATTTGTTTTACTTCCTTAACTTGTGGATTAGATTGCTTCCTTGAAGTAAGTTCGTTTACAATACCCCAAGTCTTTTTCATATTTTGTTTGTTTTGATGGAATGCGTTCTGATAATGATTTTTTTTAACAAGTTTAATTTCATTTGTCACATAGTTTCGGAACCTCTTAAATGCAGCCCAGTCTTAGGATCTTTTGAACGAATAGCCATAACTTTCAGAATATCTCTTTTGTGCATATGTTGTTTCAATTCAGGCGTTGTCCACGGTGACTTAGAAGATCTGACACGCCTCGTGCGTAAAGGAGCATGCTTTTCAACAACATTATTAAATGTGTTTTTCCAAACCCGCCACATATCATTTGGATTGTTAAAGTTGTTTACAGCAGTCCAATTCTGTGCACAAATGTCAGACCGAAAACTATCAAGGTCAAAGTTTTTAAATTTTCTATATGTCACGGTAGAATTACCTTTATTGTAAATGCCTGTTGAAAGCTTTCGAAAAGCATAGATTAAGCTATTATCACTAATGCCGACATGTGAAACACCAGAGAAAACAACCTTATCTGGAGCATTAGTAAAAATGTGATCGATTATAGTCGGAGATGACTCAGTAACACGTGCATGTGGGTTCATTTATCAGCTGATGCATGCATACCATATAAGTCAGCAATGTCGGTTCATGACCTAAAGTTATGGTCCAAAACAGATTGGCCAAGGTCGCAATTTAGATCGCCTAAAAGATAGTATTCGACATTTTCTGAATCAAGCCTACCAATAAACGACTCGAAATAAGAAAATTTATCGTTGGTCAAATCAGCCGGCCTGTACCAAGTCGAAACAATAAATGGCTTAGAACTAGGTTTTCGAATTTCAATGCACAATTTCTATAGTTGATGACTAGACAGATCCAGGCGAGGCGAGAAACTTATGCCAGAGCGCACATAGAAGCAACGCCCCCATACGTTTTCCCATTAGCACTATACATATAGACCTGTCACGCCGTACGATTTCATAGTCAGAAATGTGTATCTCATTATCGTCTATACTAGCATCAAGCCAAGACTCATTTATAGCTAAAACATCAATCGGGTTTGTGGCAAGCAAAACCCGCAGTTCATCAATGTGGCCAATTAGACTTCTCACATTAAGTGCTGCCATCTTAACCCCCGCAAATTAGGAAAGACAGGCTTAATACTAGTATCAGGGTTCAGTCAATCAGAAATAGTATTTACAAACCCTAATAAGTTTTGTTGCAAAACCGAAGTTCCCTCTTTGTTCAGGTGAAGTCCTTTATAGTTCAAGTGCTTTACATTGATGTTTGAATTATTTAAAAAGGGTATTTCATTACGTAGACAACACTCCTTAAGTATAATATTAGCTTGCAATGCTTTGAAAGCAAGATCATCATTATCATTTCTTACCAAAATAGCAGAAACACCAATTGTTGTGTTTGGCGAGTCCTCTTTCACTTGAGTAACAAGATTAACAATTGAGTCAGCGATAACTCTCGGCGTACAGCTCCTTAGATCATCCGTCCCCACATGTAGAACCATCTTGTCGGGCGACCTCCTCAACGGTGGTTTAACGAAATCCTCCATGTCTGATATTGTGGCTCCTGAGAATGGTTTCACGATGAAACAATGCTTAGAATCGTTACCACTCATTTTTGCACCAACAATATTCTTAACAATAGAATCACCCGCGATGACAACAGTTTTCTTGCGATGTCTCATCGAGTCTGGTCTATCTGGACCAACGGTGGCCTCAGAGGCGGCAGAAGTGGCGGTCTCAGATGTGGCAGAAACAGCGACCTCAGAGGGAGCAGCAGCCACGTCCGCAGAAGCCTGCTAGACTATGGTCGATATAGAAAGTGGGCAACACATGCGCAATTTATACAAAAGCTATATGAAATTTATGCTAGAAAATAGAACCCTTACGGGTTTTTTTTTTTTGGGGGGGGGGGGGGTTATTAACTTTACAATCCTGAAACAAAAAATTATAACAATGATTGAAGGTATGGTCAACAGGACATGAGTCCCATGTGAAGACCAAGAGCAAGTCACCACGTAGCGGGCTACTTGCTGTTGACTAGTAACATATATACAGTGTGCATGTTTTGTTGTTTAAATTGAGTATTAAAATCTGACAGCAGTCACCGGCACAAATATGAAATATCCATTATTGTTGACATATTTATATTAAACGAGACTCGAAAAACTTTGCACTAAAAACCATATTGATGCTATGTCAATATGCGATAAATTTGATTAATCTCTTATACATGAGTTTCTCTAATAAGTGAGAACAGATATAGGTCGATAATTTTTAAATTAATTGTTTTCGTTCGCTTTCAAAACTGATGTGATTAATGCTTTTTTCAAATTTACAGGAATATTTCCACTATTGAAAATTGAAAATAGGCCTATATGAAATAAGAGGTTCTCAGATTTCATTAGTAATATTTCTGGGATTTAAATTTTTAATTTCAGTTTCTAATTGATATTTGGTTATGGGCTGGAGAAAAAAGAGTTAGATATTGATTAAAAGTTCAACCTCTTTTCGTTTTTTTTTGCTATGTCTGGCCGAACATTCACAAAATATTCATTTAACTTGTTTGCTATTGGTTGTGGATGACTAATTTTACCTACGGAACTATTTCCAGTAAATTCTTCGGTAAACATCTATTTTCTCATGTTTCTTCATAAGTTGTTTTAATGTTTTCCATAGGAATTTTTGTGTCGTATTTGTATTTTATTAATTGCTCTTCGAAGTACTAGTATTTCCTTTTTGCTACCTTTATTACGTGGTTGATCTTATTTTTGTATTGCTTGTAGTTGTTTTCATTCTTTATCGTCGGGTTATGTAAGTATTTCTTATATAGCTTGTTTTTCTTCTTGACAGACTTGACAATGCAATGCAATTTGTTTTGTTTTTGTTAACTTGTTTTACCGTCTTTTTTGTCAGTGAAAAACAGTTCTTTCATAATATAGACATGCATGCAGGTGAAAATCTATTATAGGAATCAGTGGTGTGTTTTGATTGTGTCAGTAAATGTTTTAATATTGTTGGAATTATTGATAATTCTTTTGCATGTAAACTCTTTTACTGGCCAAGTCTTTTGATTAGATTTGAAACTTCGCACATGAACGACAGGCAGCGATCAGAGATGTCGGGAAAATAATTACGCCATTTGTACTGAATTCTATATAGACGTATCAACATCGTCAGTAAAAATATTGTCAATAAGTGTTGCCGTATGTTGTGTTATTCTTGTTGGTCTCACTATAAGTGGAATATATGATGATGTAAATAGAATTTCTAAAATTTGTTGGTATAATCACAAGATTCTTGTTTTAATAAGTCCAATATTGAAATCCCCCATATATAACATAGCTTATTTTATTCTCTTTATCTATTTTACCTAGTATTTAATTAATTGTATTTTCGAACGTTATTTTTCAACATCCCAAGTGCTTGGATCACGGGAAAACCATTTGGTAATTTTTTTATAAAATTACTACAGTGAAACAGTGGTTAACTAACTTGATTATATAAAATTACTGATGAAATATGCAATTCTCACAGCAATCGTGATTGGTAGCTAATGTGTCCCCCACGCCATTGAAAACAACAAAAAATTTGATAAAAATTCGCGAAAATATACAGCGAAAATACAGCGATCTTTTTCAAAAATTTCATTTATTCATCCATAAAATTGCAAAATATCAGGTTTTAAAAAAGTACAAATCTGTACAAAGCTGTGGAACTTGTCATAAAGTAAAGAACACGATTCAGCGTGCAAATTAACTGAGGTAAGTGAATATAAGAGGCCCACTGTAAATCACAGAGTGCACAATCAGCTGTAATGCAGTACTGAGAGTGTAGCTATACTTGGCTTCGGCGAAGCCCTCGTCAGGGCAAGCCCTCACTTCGGAGATTGCGATTTTAAATGTCGGTTCGGACTCAGTACCATCATGCACACGAGACGAGTACAAGTAACCGCAGGTCTATCGAAAGGGTCAGTCTTCGAGTTCTCCCGATTCCTCACAAATGCATGCATAAAATGTCGACAAGTTCCGTTCGTTAATGGATCATCAATACAACATCGTATTAATAGTTCATGTATGTTTTTATTTTAGACTTATAATAAAAAAAGTCTTCTTGGATGATCATGAATTTGTTGCAGACGTCGTGTTTGTTGTTCGTCGGTTTCGCACTTCTGGCTGCTATTGAACAGGTCAGTGTTCTTCCAATGGTGGAGAATGAGATCGTTAAAAAAAATACGGTGAAAATGTTGGCGCGAAGGCGATGGCCGCTCAATACCAAAACTGTAAAGCAGGCAAAGAAGACAGACGAATGTTTTGCGGTCGCCATCCTGAGTTCCATGCGCTTAGACGATCACCAGTACAACATATATTTAACAATTATTCGCCGAAGGCGAGGTGATTATCGGGGAATATTCGCCAAGACGAAGTCGAGATATTCATAGGCGTACCGGGCGGTGGGGCGGGGGGGGGGGGTTCTACCGCCCCCCCCCCCAGTTTTTAGGGCAGTCGGGCAATATTCGATCAACGGTCGGGCAATTTTGGTTTGTAATAAAAATAAATGGGACAAATTGTGTCAATTTAGTCGGAAATTCAGTCAATTTTGTGGTCAATTTTGTGTTGTTTGGAAAATTTGTGTGAATTTTCCGAAAAATTTTGGTATGTCCGGAAAATTTTTTTGACCCCTAAAATGGTACACAGACCGAAATGTTTTTGGCTAACCGGCACAATTCTTTGAAAATTCAACGAAACTGTGTGAAATATATATTAGATCGCTCAGTGAAAAGCCGCCATTTTGAAACTGAACTGAATATGTCACTGGAGCACGTTGCACCCTGAGCCTGCGATGACCTAACGCAAACTCCATTTCTCGTCGAAAACAGAAAACAGAAAAAGAGGGATTTAAGACACTTGGCCTACAGGCCAGTGTAAATAGCCTATGTGTGACCTATAGCTTCTAACGAACTTTTTAAATATGTACAGATGGTAAAGAATGCTCATCTAATTACAAATCAATTAACACCTTAAGTAGTGTCACGAAAATATTAGTATCAAGTTATAAAGTTTTTAAGTAGAAATTAATTAGCGTGCATGTCTACACGTGGAGACAAGTTCGTTGCGACGATTAAGTGTTGCAATGTCCGGTTTACAAAAAATAAAATACTTCTCCCAGATACACAAGTTACATCTCTTGGATGCATTACTGTAAGATTTAGCACGTTTTAAAATTTTCCATTTGATAGAATAACTAATATTATTGTTCTTAAGATTCCAGATGTATTTATTTAATTCAGTAGAGTTGCGCTTCTCATAGTTATTAAATGAAGCTTTGTGATTGGCGTATCGGGTTTTGAATTCGTTTTCTGTTAGTCCAACATATGTTTGAGTGAGCCGCTTGTCAAATGTTTTTACTGTGGCTTGGTACATAACAGATTTTGCCAGACAATTTTTTGACATAGGGCATTCACTTGGTTTTTGGCATTGTACTTTTTTTCCTCTGCCCTATGGGGTTTTAGCTCGGTGGAATAGCTTGGATTTGTTATGTCCGTCGATGTTTTGTTTAAAATTGCTCATATGCAGCTGTAGCTAATCTTGACGGTATTTCTATTGAATATCTTATGTAAGATATGGCCTGAGGGAAATACCACGTCTAAAATCTTTAAAAAGGTCTGACCAATATTAGTAGCGACATTTTTGCTAAACGGTGGGTTGTACCAGGTTATATTTCGTTTTCGACTCCTTGCGTTGATGGTATTTTGGGATGTCGGACGTTGTTGGTATTTCAACTTATGTTGATAACCACTCTTTGTTAGGGCTTCTTGGTACAATGGCACTGCACGCTGAAACGAGTCCTCATGCATCAGATGAAATTTCAAAAAGGCGTTTGTTGATCGCGGCTGGTATGTTGTCTAGTATTTTGGGTGGATGGTTTGATTTGTTGTGGATCAATATTCATTCATTGCTTTTGACGTGATTGACTTCTACCCATCTATTTCAGTCGACCTTCTCAACGCAGCGCTAGAGTTTCACCACAAATTATGATGACATCAGTACATCACGGATGATGAAAGAAATATTATTCTGCATGCAAATAAATCATGCCTATATAATTCTAGAGAACACTGGGGCAAGAAAACATCATCCAACCTGTTTGACGTAACTATGGGTAGTTATGACGGGGCAGAATCGTGCGAGCTGGTCGGATCTTTTTTGTTACATCAGTCGATCACATCACCCAAAAACACGGTGAGAACTTCGGCCTCTATCGGCCTCTATCGAGATGACGGGCTTGGTGTTATAAGAGCAACCCCCCGTAAAATTGAAATTATCAAGAAAGATATCTGTTCCATCTTCAACAATCATGGCTTAAAAATTACCATCGAAGTCAACAAGAAAATAGTTTTTTAGACGTCGCCCTAAATCTGTCTACCCAAAAGTACCAGCCGTTCACTAAACCCAACAATATTCCACTTTACGTCCATAACAAATCAAACCATCCACCCAAAATACTAGACAACATACCAGCCGCGATCAACAAACGCCTTTCTGAAATTTCATCTGATCAGGACTCGTTTCAGCGTGCAGTGCCATTGTACCAAGAAGCCCTAACAAAGAGCGGTTATCAACATAAGTTGAAATACCAATAACCTCCGACATCCCAAAATACCATCAACTCAAGGAGTCGAAAACGAAATACTATAACCTGGTACAACCCACCGTTTCGCAAAAATGTCACTACTAATATTGGTCAGACCTTTTTAAAGATTTTAGACGAGGAATTTCCCGCAGGCCATATCTTACACAAGATATTCAATAGAAATACCGTCAAGATTAGCTACAGCTGCATGAGCAATTTTAAACAAAACATCGACGGACATAACAAATCCAAGCTAGCTATTCCACCGAGCTAAAACCCCAGAAGAAAAAAAGTGCAATTGCCTAAAACCAAGTGAATGCCCTATGTCAAAAAATTGTCTGGCAAAATCTGTTATCTACCAAGCCACAGTAAAAACATTTGACAAGCGGCCCACTTAAACATATGTTGGACTAACAGAAAATGAATTCAAAACCCGATACACCAATCACATGCAAAGCTTCATTTAATAACTATGAGAAGCGCAACTCTACTGAATTAAATAAATACATCTGGAATCTTAAGAACAATAATATTAGTTGTTCTATCAAATGGAAAATTTTAAAACGTGCTAAATCGTACAGTAATGTAACTTGTGTACCTGGGAGAAGTATTGACCGAAGAAGTGACCGGACATTGCAACACTTAATCGTCGCAACGAACTTGTCTCCACGTGTAGACACGCTAAATAAATTTCTACTTAAAAAACTTTATAACTTGATACTAATATTTTCGTGACACTACTTAAGGTGTTAATTGATTTGTAATTAAATAAGCATTCTTTACCATATGTAAATATTTAAAAGGTTCCTTAGAAGCTATAGGTCAAAAATAGGCTATTTTATCTCAAGAGTGACACGTTATTTACGTGGTACGAAACTGTATAGTAATAAATATGCCAAACAAAGCTTGCTGAGTTTTTGTGCCTTTCTATTATGCTCTGGTTATCCATTGAGCACTCTATCATTGGTTTTTATAACCCAACACAAATTATATATATATATATATATATATATATATATATATATATATATATATATATATATATATATATATATATATATATATATATATATATATGTATATATATATATATATATATATATATACCAAATATGTATTTAGAATCATATATGAGTAGAGTGCTCGATATACCGAAGTATAGAGCTAATATAGATAAAGATAAAATAAACTTGGTTTACTTCATAAGATTTATTCACAAAATAAGATAAGAAATAATAATAATAATAATAATAATAATAAGATTTATTAATAAATCTTATGAAGTAAACCAAGTTTATTTTATCTTTATCTATATATATATATAAATATATATATATATATATATATATATATATATATATATATATATATATATATATATATATATATATATATATATATATATATATATATATATATACATATATATATAAATTAATCAACTCAACACATAACATAAGTTGATTAATTTATATACCTTTATGGCTTTTCGCCTAGTGATTAATCTATATATATATATATATATATATATATATATATATATATATATATATATATATATATATATATATATATATATATATATATATATATATATATATATATAAATAACTTAAAAAGTTATTTAGTTAGGGCTAAAGTACCGCCGTTAGTGAGGGAAAAGGGGTGTAAGAAATGTAAGAAAGCACGATGTTTAACGTGCAATAATATTCGAGAAACCGACAGCTTTAAGTGTTCAACAGATGGTAAACAGTACAAAGTGAACCATAGGTTGAATTGCGAGTCGAAATGTGTGGTTTATCTTCTTACTTGTAAAGTCTGTAAAAAACAATATGTTGGCCAAACAACAGATAAATTTAGGTACCGTTGGAATAATTATGAAGCCTGCCACAAAAAGGCAGTTAATAACGAGGCTTATACACAAATGTTTTTCCATCAACATTTCTTGGGTAATGGACATAATGGATTGATTAGTGATTGCGAGATTGTTTTAATTGATAAAACTGACCCAGCGGAACCGACCAGACGTGAGGCATTTTGGATAAGCAAACTAAAGACAATGCATCCTTCGGGATTGAACATAGAGAATGCGTAGCAATGTTAATTATAGTTAACAGGATATTGTTATTTGTATGGTAAATCACTTATATTCATATTATGCATAATTAGCAAAATTGGGAGGGTATAAATTGGGTTCGCCTGTAAAGTAGGATTATATTTGATGAAGACAATAAAGTCGAAACGTTACGTTATGTGTTGAGTTGATTAATTTATTTATATATATATATATATATATATATATATATATATATATATATATATATATATATATATATATATATATTATATATATATATATATATATATATATATATATATATATATGATTTCGATATTTTTTGTTGAGTTTTTTTCTGAAGCGAGTGTTGCTGCTTTGTCGAATGTCAAACAAAGACATAAAAATATGAAATATATATATATATATATATATATATATATATATATATATATATATATATATATATATATATATATATATATATATATATATATATAGTACAATCTGCAGACATGCATATTTCGGCGTTCAACGCCTCGTCAGTGCAGCTTGGTACACGTCTAGATACGTGAGACACTCGTATTTATCCCCATGAACTTGCTCTCACCAAGGCATGTGGTACAACACGGTGACTCAACGCATCCAGACATGCGCAGAGCGTAATGGGGCCAGAGTGCTCAAACGACCACAAGGGAAGTGAGCTTTGCATTATCGCTAATAGACACCCATTAACAACTCCGCAGAGTGCTCAACAACACCGAAGTGAAGGAGCGTAATATATATATATATATATATATATATATATATATATATATATATATATATATATATATATATATATATATATATATTGTATAGTACGCTATTGTTGGCTAAATCTACATATTTATATGTTCAAGGTTACCGGCGCAAGGAAGTTGAAGAAACCCACTCATGAAGAATCATTGGATTTCCCATTACGTCCGGGAGACGGCATAGTCTCTCGCAGAGCTACGGCGCGTGATGGTGTATTTGGTCCCGATTGTGTGGACTTGTGTAGGGAAGGTATAGGAGGAGCTTTATGTAATTGTGCCCAATTACCACCAGCGTGGAATGACGAGGTTAACTGATGTGTCGAAAAGCAAAAATTAATAATGCTTGAATATTTTAGTACTTTACTGTATGTCGTCTTCTTTTTATATGAACATGCAATTGCCATCGTAGAATGATAGCTTTGAATTGCTTTTATGAAACCGGGTTTGAAAAATACAAAAATAAGCACTTTTTTAAGATTTGTATAGCACTTTTTTAAGATTTGTATTTTAAGATTATAAAAACTTATAACTGACATTTAGATTTTAGTTTAACGCAAACGGCAAATCGCTAATTAATTTTATTTTTAATTGTGTTATATAATGCCATTATAATAATCACATGTATTCACTGAAGCATTAAATTAAGATTTAGCGTTTGAAGTTTGTGTTTGGCGTTTATGTTTCGCCAACCAGTTTCGCTACTTCTAAATGGGTACTTAACCAATATTCTAAATTTTAGAATGCGGGTAGTGCCCATGCTAGGTATATACCTGAGCAATCCTAACCCTAACCCTAAACGCTAACCCCTAACTAACTACTAACCACTAAAGTGACTCCGTGTTTTACAAATCGCGGGTTGCGATTTGTAAAAGGCGGACTCATTCAATACCGTCGCTTGCAACTAAGGATGAACAGTCGCAGATAAAAGTCATAAAAACATTGTCTATTCGCATGACAAAGTTCAATGTTTTTACCTAGAAAGTTCAATGTTTGTGATGATCATGATAATACGTCTATATATAAACAGCCATCCAAAAGTCCCAAACATGTTCAATCATTACTTTTTCATCGACAACTCACCACTCACAAGTATCGTATCTTTAGGCCCTTATAATTATATTATGAGTTTCAGTTTGTAAATAAAATAGATAGAACAGTTCGTATATAACGATAGCCAAATAGTGTAATATTATAAAGAGAATTTTATAGTCATTAAAACCTCGATTGATGGGCTTCAACAAGCGATTTGACTGAAGGATCCATAGTGTAGCTATGTTGGGATGTTGGGAGGAATCTCCAATCCTTCTTGGATTCTTTTCTTGAAAACCGTTTGGTAGAAGCTTGAGGATGTAGGTACATCATGAGCAAACGCAGAAATGGCACGCGCTCGCCATCGAGAAAAACACTAAAACAGATACACTTTGATACATTTTGGAAGCATCCCTGCTAGCGTAGTATTCTTCCTACTCGTGATGTTGCCCCAATAACTCGTTATTTGACCGTTGTCGCTCAAAAAAGCTCAAAATATTTTCGAAACTTAACTTCTTCACTCCTTAGGCTATTAAATTCACTTGCGATAAAAACAACGCGCGTGTTATTGCCAGAAATGAGACTGGACCGAGCACAAACAGACAACTTCCTGTGTTCCGACATAAACAAAAGTCCAACGCATGCGCAGATGCGACTGTAACCTATCTTTAAGCGACAGGCCCTATTAATATAAAAACTATAAACCGATTGTGGAATACTATTTTGCTGGTTTCATATCTTCGATTCGGTACGTGCTATATATATGAAAATACCAGCATTCGATTCAGTGAAACATTATCTCCTAATTCCTAACGATACTTTTAGTCAGAGACAAACATAGCGATGTATATGACCTTTGAGTTTGAAGGGTCAAGAAATATCATATTTCAATAAATTACATATTTGTTCGAAAATTGTAAACAATGTATCACTATTAAGCCATACCTTTCGCCGAACACAACTTCAGGTCCTCCTCCCCTACAGCCCCTTCGAACATAACTTTTTCGTTAGAAAAGACCGATCAAGAAATGGGGGTGGAGTTTGTATATACTTGCGTAGCTCAATCAACTATAAAATAAGAAATTATCTTATTCCCTCCGAATTGGAAGCTGTTTGTGTAGAAATTAGTAAGCCACATAGTCGGCCATTTTTGGTTACAACTATTTATCGACCACCAAATTCATCACATGATTTTTTTGAAAATTTTGAAAAATTAATCAAAGCGATTGATGATGAAAGTAAAGAAATGTATATTCTTGGTGATTTAAATTGTGACATGCTTAAAACAGAATCCGATACACCAACAAGAAAATAAAATCACTGTATGAACTATATCAATTGTCACAATTAATTAAGGAAGCTACTCGGGTAACCATGACAACCTCCAGCCTCATTGATCATATAGTTACTAATACACCAAAGAAAATCTCAGATTCTGGTGTCATTCATACAGGTATCAGTGATCATAGTTTGGTATTTACCATCAGAAAAATCCATATTTCTAAGAAACAAGATGAAAACATAGTGGAAATTAGAAATATGAAAAACTTTGATGACAAAAAATTTGTTGAAGATTTACTTAATCAGCATTGGGAATATGTATACTTCTTCGCTGATAATCCAAACACTATGTGGGTGATTTGGAAGAAATTGTTTGAGGAAGTACTAAATAAGCATGCACCCATTCAACAAAAAAAGATCAGATCAAAAAAAGTCCCTTGGATTACTAGTGAAATCAAAAAGCTTATAAATAAGAGGGATAGATCTAAGAGAAAAGCCATTATTAAAAACCTTGAAGCAGATTGGTTAGTGTATAAACAAACCAGAAATAAAGTAAATATAGAAATGAAAAAAGCCAAAAAGGATTATTACTCCAAGAGGATTGCTGGTCAAAAGCAAAATCCAAAGGAGGCTTGGAAAACAATAAACAACTTACTAGGCAGACAAAACAAACCAACAAAAGTAAATGAGTTGAGTATAAGTGGAAATAATTTAACAAATTCAGAAGACATTGCGGAGGGTTTTAACGAATTCTTTTCAAATATTGGGCATAGCTTCGCTAGCAAAATTGATACTTCGAGTATATTAAGAGTATATTAAGAAACCTAAATCAGAATTCACTGTATTTGAGTCAATTACCAACAACAAAGTTTATTATCTCCTACGTGGCCTCTCTAGTGCAAAAGCCACTGGCATTGACAAAATTTCAAGTAAAATTTTAAAACTAGCAGCACCTGCTATCTCCAGTTCATTAACTTATATATTTAATCAGGCTATTACACTATGCGCTTTTCCCGATGAATGGAAAATGGCAAGAGTATCACCTCTTTATAAAAATGGCCAAAAAAATTTGCCTGGTAACTACCGACCAATTTCTGTTTTGCCAGCTGTTAGCAAAGTTATGGAAAGAATTTTATTATGACCAACTATATGATTATTTGACGAAATTTCAGCTACTTAATGATTGTCAATTTGGCTTTCGCAAATCTCACTTAACTGCTGCAGCGTTACTAGACTGTACTAATAGTTGGTATATAAATATTGACAAAAAAATTATTTCACTTAGTTGTACTAATTGACTTAAAAAAGGCATTTGATACTGTCGACCACCAGATTTTACATTTTTACTAAAAAAACTCGAAATTTATGGCGTAAAAGGAGATGCTTTGGCTCTACTAAAATCATACTTGATAAATCGCACTCAGAAATTCCAAGTTAATGGAACTATTTCATCGGAGCGGTTGATTAAGTGTGGCGTGCCACAAGGCTCTATTTTAGGGCCATTATTCTTTTTATTATATGTTAATGACTTGCCTCAGTGTCTAAGCAAAACAAAACCTCGACTGTTTGCTGATGATACAAACCTAACAGCTGCGGGAGAATCTATAAATGATGTTGAAGCTGCAATGAATTCTGATTTAGAAAACCTTATAGGAAATGGTTAATTGCCAATAAACTAAGTTTAAATGTGGCCAAAACTGAATTTATATTAATTGGATCTAAACCAATGATAAAAAGTATCTCAAATAGACAACCAAACATTATCATAGAAAACAAACCAATTAAACAAGTATATGATTGCAAAACTCTTGGAGTGACTGTTGACCAGCATTTGTCTTGGAAGAATAATACTGAAACAATTTGCAAGAAAATAACATCCGGGATATCAGCTCTTCGTCAAATAAAAGAATTTGTTGAGAAAGATACACTTGTCTCTGTGTATAATTCTATTGTTCGCCCATACTTTACATATTGCTGTGAAGTATGGGATGTGTTTGGTGAAACACAATCAAAACGCCTCCAAAAGCTCCAAAACAGAGCTGCTCGAATCATAATGAATATGAGCAATGATGTAGATCATCTGGTTGCTTTAGATGCTTTAGACTGGAAGCCACTTAAAACGGAAAGAATAAAGGCTAAGTCCAAACTGATGTTTAAATTGTTGAATAAAATGGGTCCTAAATCACTTACTGATTTATTTACTTTCAAAAGTGAAATGACAAATTATAAACTTCGAGATGTTGAAAGTACTCTTTGCTTACCACAGCCGCGTACAAATAGCTTGAAAAAAAGTTCATGTTTGAGGGGGCACACATTTGGAATTCTTTACCAACCGAAATTAGAGAGAGCAACTCCATCATGTCCTTTGAAACTAAAATCGCTACTCACATTTTTGAATACTCAAATTTTTGAATAGCATTATTATTCTTATACTTATACTTATATATATATTTCTTACTGTATGTAATATCTTACTATATACTATATCTTTGTAATTTTATTGTTGTACACGCCCCTTGTGGAAATCAGCCTAGGTTGACAATGGTTAGCGTGTTTAAATAAAAGTTTCTATCTATCTTTCGTTGTAGTCGTGTTTGATTCACAATTAAAAACATAGACTTGCCACAAGTCGGCCTCGAACGAAACGCGAGCAGCGAGCGCGAGCGACGAAGTCGCTCGCGCGAGGCCGACTTGTCATACTTGCAGCGCGCCAAATTTTACTGACCCAAAAATGGGTCAGTAACGATGATCTATATATATTGTGTATATTCGATAGATAGATAGATAGATAGATAGATAGATAGATAGATAGATAGATAGATAGATAGATAGATTTAATAAAATACTTCGCAGCCATAGGCTGAATTGCGTATTTTTTTTTTACAAGTAAATTTAACTAATTACGAGAATATAAAAGAAAAGTTTATCAAGCCATTATGATGACATTCCATATAAATATTATATATACAAGATGTTTATTACTTTAATATACTAAAAAATTTAAAATTATTAAAAATATTAGGTCATTTCAATAGCATTAGATAAATGATTTGCGGCACGAAGCCACAAAAAAACTAGTTTGAAAACGATTAGTGTTACATCTAGGAATTTCAAATTTCCTATCGTTTCTTAAATCATAAAAAGAAGTATGTATAGGTGGCAGTAAACTTCGTAACTTATGATTTTCATCAGCAACTACTGTTTGAAATAAACTAGTTAAAATATTTTCATGATGAACAGACAGTGACTCCAATCCACAACTAATTAAAGCGTCTTCGTAATTAGTGTTTGGACAGATGATTCTAATAGCTCTTTTTTGTAATCTTTCAAATTCGGAACGCAATTATTTTGGCAACGAATAGTAAATGACAGGGATACCATAGTCGATAACAGATGATGATGATGATGATGATGATGATGATAAACTTTATTTAACCACGCTAACATTGTCAGCAGAAGCTGGTTTCCACAATGGGCGTGTAAAAAACATTAACAAATTGTTACAAGTAAAATAATAAGGAAGTATTAACATGCAGAATATAAAATTATTAAAATATATACAAAAAGTTTGCTATTTACAATGATGTGGTTTTCTTTATAAGCTATAGGTAGCGATTTTTCTTTTAAAACTTGAGAGCGAATTACTTTCTCTTATATTTTTTGGAAGAGAGTTCCATATGGAAGCTCCATCATACATGAAACTCTTTTTCATATTGTTTGTGTTTGGCTTGGGCAAACGTATGGTACTTGAGCTGTTACGAAGACTGCGGTTTAATATTTCTTTTTTGAAAGTAAATAATTCTTTGAGACAATTTGGCCCCATGTTATTTAGCGTTTTAAACATTATTTTTGCCTTTGCTTTCACTCTTTGTTCCTTGAGTGGTTCCCATCCTAATATATTTAGCACAGTTTGTTGATCTACCTCATTAGGCACACATGCTATTACACGAGCAGCTCTGTTATGAAGTTTTTGGAGACGCGTGGATTGCGTTTCACCAAATATATTCCAAACTTCACAACAGTAGCTAAAGTATGGTTGAATTATAGCATTGTATACGGAAACGAGTGTTTTTTTATCAACATATTCTTTAATGCTTTTAAGAGCGTATATTCCAGATGATATCTTTTTACATATATTATCTGTATTGCTCTTCCAACACAAATTTTCATCAACAGTCACACCTAGTGTTTTACATTGAAAAACCTGCTTTATGGGTATGTTTTGAATGTGAATTTTAAGTTGCTGAACAGAAGCTTTCTTCAGCATCTGTTTAGTACCAATAATTTGAAATTCAGTTTTCGCCACATTCAAGCTCAGTTTGTTTGCCATGAGCCATTTACGAAGCATTTCTAAATCTGAGTTTACTGCATCTTCAAGATCACTTAAGCATTCTCCAGCTGCTGTGATATTTGTATCATCAGCAAACAGCCGTGGTTTTGTTTTACTCAGACATGCAGGTAGATCATTAATATAGAGTAAGAAGAATAGTGGCCCCAATATAGACCCCTGGGGTACACCACATTTGACGTCATTTTCCCCTGAAATAGATCCATTGACTTCACATCTTTGAGTACGACCAGTTAAGTATGATTTGAGTAATAGAAATGCACTTCCTGTGATTCCAACTAGTTTTAGTTTTTGCAATAAGATCTCATGGTCAACAGTATCAAAGGCTTTTTTTAGGTCTACAAATACAACCAAATTAAAAAGTTTTCTATCCATGTTTATGTACCAATCATTTGTGCAATCAAGTAAAGCTGTTGCAGTTGAATGAAATTTTCTGAAACCAAATTGATGTTCAGAAAGTATGTTATTTGCACTCAAATATTCATAAAGTTGAGTATATAGGATACGTTCCATAATTTTACTAATGGCTGGCAACACAGAAATTGGTCGATAATTTCCTGGCAAGTTTCGTTTGCCATTCTTAAAAAGGGGGATTACCCTTGCAATTTTCCATTCATGTGGAAAAGTACATAAAGTTATTGCTTGATTAAAGATGTAAGTCAATGAATCGGAAATTAATGGTGCAGCAATTTTGATTATCTTGCTGGATATTTTATCCAGGCCAGTAGCTTTGCTACCAGACAGTTCACGTAATAAAAGACAAACATGACTAACAGTAACTGACTGGAATGCAGTAAATTCAGAATTAGTTTTGTCAAGGAAGTCTTTAGAATGACATCCTGGTGTACTAATTTCTTCGGCTAAATTCGGTCCAATATTTGAAAAGAAGGTATTGAAGCCCTCAGAAATTTCATCAGGGCTTGTTAATTTTATGCCATTTAAGTTTAATTCGTTTACTTTAGTTCTTTGATTTTGTTTACCAAGTAAGGTATTAATTGTCTTCCAAGCAGCTTTTGGATCTTGCTTTTCAGTCGCTATTTTATTGGAATAATATTCCTTTTTGGTTTGTCTTAGAAGATTGTTTGTTTCATTTCTGGCTTTTTTATAGTTATCCCAATCTGTTTCAAGTTTAGTGATAATTGCTTTTCTTTTCAAATTATCTCTTGCAATTATTAGTTTTTTTATATGACTAGTAATCCAAGGATTTTTTTTAGATTTTGTTTTTTTGTTTTGAATTGGGGCATGTTTATCTAGGACTTGTAAGAAAAGTTGTTTCCAAATTTCCCACATAGTGTCAGGATTGTCTGCAAAAAATAGACATGTTCCCATGTTT